ACATCATCAACATCTGGTTGGCCATGATTCTATGTTCTCAGTTATCCATGCCATGTCGTAAACCACATGCAATGAGTTAACACCTCCAATGATTTTATAATTACAAGAATATGGTTACTTATTAGAGAGTCTCCGCTTTTCATGGAGGATGTTAAAGGTATAATAAACCACAGACAACACTTGGATTTGGCCATGATATGTGATTTAAAATGTTTAACTTGAACTAGAATCCTGACAACGCAAGTTTAATTCTTGGCCACATAGCACGACAATATCGTGAATTGAAGACTGAACCAAGCCTAGGTTTCCCTGAGGTTGATGCAGCCTAAACATTGGTACCTGGTATGTCATACCAGGTATGATATGGCTAGGAACATGGAGGTCATTAAATTGGTAGCCAAAGGTGAACCATGCATGGATTATGTGTGGCACAATACTACTTTATGATTATGATAAAATAACAAGTGCTCGATATCAACATTCATGCCCCTAGTCTGTGCATCCGGTGATCGTATTTACCGCATATATCCCGAATACACATATAACCCGCAGACGCATATACCCCGCAAAAATAGCGTTTTGTATAAAACAAATTTCAGATAACCCGCACCTCCATATACCCCACATGCATTCATATCTTTAACGTCGTTACCGCAGCTTAATTCCATCATATTAATACGAAGTTTACATTTGTAATACATTCCACTATCAATTGTTAACATTAAAATAATAACGTGCAGAAAGAAAACAAACTAACCGGAAACGAGTGACCTTAAAACAGTAAATAAGTAACAAAAGTACATATCCAATAAATAATTAACACATAACTGGGAGATAAGCAAGTACAGCACTGGTGATTGCGCACTGCGCAGATAATAGCGGCACTCCGGTAACGTCGTTGCCTCGCCCTCCCACCTCTCCCTCCTCTCAGCTCTCCCGTCGCCACCGCAGATCTTGCTTTGCCCCACCCCCCAACCCCCTCTACCTCTCTCATCCCAGCTCTCCCGTCGCCAGTAAACAAAGTGCGCCCACTTTCGAACATTGTCGTTTTATTGTATAAACAATTCGACTAATTAAAAACGTGATACCATGTGCAATTTTAGTGTAAGTGGTTTATTCAGCAGTGCTTTAGTGAAAGGTAAGTTTTGATTTAATGCTTTCGTGACTGCCAGGGATTCATCGTCTTGGTTCTTTCGGTAAAGTCACGTAGAAGGGAAGTAATAAAATAATACAAATAAAACATAATAAAATAATTCTCACGACGTTTCGGCCACAACGCAAGCAGCCGTCCTCAGGTGAAAACCAGGTCTGTCGAGGTGACAGCGTTTGAATGAAACAGCACACGTGCTTGGAGCATATATATAAGCTGGGTTGGAAGGGGGGGGGAATGGCGCCTTGACAAAAGAATGTGCATATCAAGAGAAATTTAGCATATTTATGGGAAATGCAGGTATGTGATTAGTACTTCTTATGCCCGTGCATTATGCAGAATTAGCAGCATCAAAGGGAGGGGATAAAGGGAAGAAGTGTTAATAGTATGTAGCTGCAGTAACTAAAACCACCACGTAAACAACTAAAGTATAAACTACATAGTATCATCAGTATAGTAAATATACTCTACAATAAGCTGAGTTACTAACAGTAAGTAATACATTACAATTCTACGTCGTAAAAAATATATGCTTCCATCTAAACTTTTTTTTCCTCTTACATCACACGAGTCTACACCGTACTATATACTGCCATAGACAAACCCAACATTAAATTACATACTGTATTGCTATAAACCACCCTATACCTTATCCATTGTAATATTACACTATGTATTATTCTACCCACCCTAATGTATATCACACTGCTGTATATTCACTATACAATTACGATACTATATATTACTTTGTACATTGTATTAAGCATATACATTTTAATACTATTTGTTATTATACACTGTACCATTGACCGTCGTGTGAAAGATACTAAGAGGAAGCAACAAAATATGGCAATGGGAGAGTAGTGAGAGGAAAATTGCAGCGGAGCAAAGAATCCATTCCCTGCGGAGAATACAATGCCAGTGAGTGGAACGCGGTCTGAAAGTCACCGTCAGTCTCAAATTTCTCCATAAAAATGTTGGCTACAACCGGAGATAGGGGGGAGCCCATTGGGGTGCCCTCAGTTTGCTTGTAGAAAGTTCCATTCCAGGTGAAGTATGTATTGGTTAAGCAGTGTCTCACCAGGGGGGGTACCCCAGTATTCAGTCCTTGATGAACCAAGTCTTCAATGATTGCGATGGTGTCAGGTACAGGAACTTTGGTGAATAAGAAAACCACATCAAAACTGACAAGCAGGTCGTCTGGGGACAGGGAAATCCCCTTGATTGTCAATACAACGTCAGTAGAGTTTAGTACCGCAGAGGTGGTTTTTTCAGTGAAAGGCCATAGGATTTCAGACAAAAAACGAGCCAGTTTGTAGGTGGGGGAGTTGATAGTAGAGACAATGGGACGAAGAGGTCTATCTTCTTTATGTATCTTTGGCAAGCTGTATAATCTTGGTGGCCTGGCTGCAGAAGGTTTCAACGAGAACTGTTTGGTCTGATCAATTAATGCGGTTGAATCAGAAATGATTTTGTTGGTTTTAGAGACAAGGCTGTTGGTGTGGTCTCTTTTTATTTTTGTATAGCTGCCATCGTTGAGTAGTTCTTGAATTTTGTTGTTGTATTCTATTTTGTCCATGATGACAGTGGCATTGCCTTTGTCGGCTGAGAGGATGACAATGTCATCCCTCTTTTTTAATTAAGCTAATTCAAAATGCTCATCTTTGCTGATGTTGCTAGTAGGCATCTTAGCGTTTTTGAGGGTTGCAGAGATTTCAGATCTTGCTCCGTCTGCAGCAATGTGACTCAGGCCCTTGAGAGCTACATCTACTCGGACAATTATATCATTAACTGGTATGTGTCTAGGTGTGACTGCAAAGTTTAGTCTTTTAGCTAAAACGGATTTCAGACCCTCAGAAATAAAATTGTTACTGCGATTAATTACGACTTTGTTAACGTCTAGCTTTTCAATGTGTGGGTCCGGTCTCTAGTTTAAGAGGGGGTTGAATTTGGAAATCAAGTTGTCCTTACATTTGGTCGACATAGCGGCAGCTGAAGAGGCAGTCATTTTGTCTACATGTTCCCAATCCGATGAGGACATTGTTGCACTCAAAGATAAGTGTGATTTGTAGAGTGTCTTGTCTAACTGATCTAGATCGGTGTGCGTAAGTCTGATTTTCTCTGAGATAAGAGCTAAGCTAGTTCTAGACAGAATTCGTTTAGCATTAGAAGAAGTTACAGCAGCATAGAAGATGGATTCTGGCTTAGCAATCATTGGAAGGACGTAATAAACCATTTCGGATCTTAACTGATTGTGTTCACGTTTACAGTGACTTTCAGACCGCGTTCCACTCACTGGCATTGTATTCTCCGCAGGGAATGGATTCTTTGCTCCGCTGCAAGTTTCCTTTCACTACTCTCCCATTGACATATTTCGTTGCTTCCTCTTAGTATTTTTCACACGACGGTCAACGGTACAGTGTATAATAACAAATAGTATGAAAATGTATTTGCTTAATACAATGTACAAAGTAATATATAGTATCACAATTGTATAGTCAATATACAGCAGTGTGATATACATTAGGGTGGGTAGAATAATACATAGTGTAATATTGCAATGGTTTACAGCAATGCAGTATGTAATTTAATGTTGGGTTTGTCTATAGCAGTATATAGTACGGTGTAGACTCGTGTGATGTAAAAGAATAAAGTTTAGATGGAAGCATATTATATATTTCTTACGGCGTAGAATTGTAATGTATTACTTACTGTTAGTAACTCAGCTTATTGTAGAGTATATTTAGTATACTGATGATAGTATGTAGGTTATACTTTAGTTGTTCACGTGGTGGTTTTAGTTACTGCAGCTACATACTATTAACACTTCTTCCCTTTATTAATGCTACCCCTATCCCCTCCCTTTGATGCTGCTAATTCTGCATAATGCACGGGCATAAGTAGTACTAATCACATACCTGCATTTCCCATATCCCCTCCCTTTGATGCTGCTAATACTGCATAATGCACAGGCATAAGTAGTACTAATCACATACCTGCATTTGCCATAAATATGCTAAATTTCTCTTGATATGCACATTCTTTTGTCAAGGCGCCCTTTCCCCCCCTTCCAACCCAGCTTATATATATGCTCCAAGCACGTGTGCTGTTTCATTCAGACGCTGTCGCCTCGACAGACCTGGTTTTCACTTGATGACGGCTGCTTGCGTTGTGGCCGAAACGTCGTGAGAATTATTTTATAATGTTTTATTTTTATAATTTTATTATTTCCCTTCTACGTGACTTTACCGAAAGAACCAAGAAGATGAAAGGTAAGTGTTGCATAGTGGATAGTCCTACCATAAAAAAATGTAAACACATTCCTGCGGAGGGAGCTGGTAGGAACTTTGGGTTGCTCGGTCAATGGCCAGGGTCAACGGCGGCGTGGTGTCTTCCGCAAATATGGCCGACTGTGAGGGCGGGCACAAGCCGGCGTGAGTAGGTTAAATGTTGAGTTTTATAAGGACACCACGGGGTGACCAGCCCTTCCCTCCCCACCCAGCCCCACCCCACCCCACCCTCCCCACCCAGCCCCACCCTCCCCACCCAGCCCCCCCCCCACCCTCCTCTCCCAGCCCCACCCCATACAGCCCCATCCCTCCCATATTTGGATGCACGACGGATGGATGGACACAATAATCCCCTGTGGGCTGGTGTAACCAGGAGGTTCCTATCAGTACGAGTTATGACATGTCACACGTGTAAAATATTTTTGGGATATCCCGCACCTCCATATACCCCGCAGGGTCTTGTTTTGTTTGTAAAAAGTGGTATACCCCTCGGGTTATATGCGTGAAAATAGGTAAATGAAAGAGTTTGCATCATCGTCTTGTTGTTGTGTGGCTCACAGGCCCATGGGGGCAATGCGTGGCAAGACAGTGCGGGGCGCACGGGGTGCAGGGTCGTGCCGTGTGGTGCGCACATCCCACGGGCCGCGCCATCGTCTCCCCTTCGACTGCTGCCACCACCACCACTCTCAACACCACAACGTGCGACCCATCCACACGGCCCCCCCACAGACGCAGCTGTGTTCGCACGTGCACAGGGCGGCCTTGGCATGACACGTCCCTGCCCTGGGACACGGATACGACTGGCAGAACGGGCGAGCCAGGCGAATGTCGCCCCTTGCAGCAGCAGCAGCAAGAGCTGCCGGCCTTTTCCGCCGGCGAGTGTGATCCTGCTGCCGAGCCCGCTGGCTGCCGCCCAGCACCGGGAACGAGCTCAGGCGCCCAGGACGGCGGCCCCCTGGGCGGTGCGTGTGATACACGGCACGGCGGCAATTCCGGCGGTGCTGGCGGCGGCGAAGGTGCCGGTGCCGCATTACAGGATTCGTGCATCGTGAGCGGCTGGTCGACATGGGGGGCCTGCGGTGGCAGCAGCGGCGGCGCAGGGTCGGCGTGTGGCCCCGGCGGAACACGCTTGCGTGTCCGTCGCGTGTTGTTTCCGCCGTCGCATGGAGGTGCCGCGTGTGTGGAGCTGTCGGAATCACAGGCATGCACCGTGGCGGCCCCATGCCCTACTTCGGCACCGGGGGACCCTTTTTCCAACAGCCAGTATGAGCTTATTATGTATACACACAATCATTTGTTGTGCGCACGCTTTAATGTGGTTATTTTTCTTGTTGTTGGTGCGCGCGTGTGTCATACACATCCTTGACTACAAAGTCCACTGTCGTCTTGCTTTGACTGGCCTTTCTTGATTTGATGTGTTTTGAGTGTCAATTCCGTGGTGTGTTTCTTGTGCATTTCTGTGGTAAATGTGTTTCCTTCATTAGATGCCCAGGTGAATATCTCATGAAATAATGGTATCACACTCTTGGCATCTATTTAAATAGCAAGATTTATTTAGGTAAATTATTACATTAATATGTCAGACGGTTACAATTTCCTATAAATAAATGTAGCAAAAAGGTACAATTCTTAGTTTCTACCACGTGGATATAATATGCATCCCAATGCTTATTTATGTCTCGATAAGCCTAGGGCCTATTGTCAAACCGCAATCTCAGTCTTAATTGAAAGTCATTGTCTGCTTTGCATACCTCCCTAAATTACAAATAGCTACCTCTTATACCGATTAAATTGCATGCATATGCCAAGGACCTGTATGTGCATCCAATAATAATTTAAGCAATTGAATATTTGTCATCGTTAGGTTTCATTGGAATACTTGAGAATTTAAGAGCCAAACTGTCATATTTAGGATGCTAACAGCTGTCAAAATAATAGGCATGTAAAATGCACGATATTTAATTAAAATAAATTATTAATTAAAATCGCATTTTAGGTGGCTATGTTCATGTTTTATCTCGGATAATTGAGCAGACAACACTCAAAAAATAAGATCGAAAAATAAGAATACGAATCAGGTACAGTAATACAATTTTATAAATAAAAAGAGTTGATTCTGAAATGACATCCTGAACTCAAATGTGTCGATTTAGCAACATTTCTATATTTACGCGATCTTACCCAAAATACCTCGATTATGGATCAAATTGTGATAATTCAACAAATATTTGTGGGGATAAACAATTACATTCTAAAATAATATGGCACGTGGCAGTCTGATGAATTTCCAAATCAGCAGGAAAACTCTTGCATTATAGCTCATCCGACAGCCTGTATGCCAAAGATATGTTTGCTTTTTAACTCTTGGAGAGTTCTGCATTTGTATTCACTAGGTCATATATACATTACAGTACAAGGTACCATACATTTTAGTTCTAATGTCTAAACGCAATTGCATCTATAGACACTGCTCATCAGTTACCATAAATATGTATAGTCTGTGTGCTTAAGAGGTGTATACAAAGCCTGTCTGGAAAATAAGAATTTATGGAGTAAGGAAATATTCGTTAGTCATAGAAGACAGCAATAAATGTACGTAAAAAAATAATCTGTTTATTAATACATATTGTATTGAAGTAATATCCGCATACCATTCATGTATTCTGTGTACATGTTACTGGTGAATTATTTAAATTGCGCACATATATGTGCCTATATGCATGTGTGTATGTATGTATGTATACAAGTGTTAGTGTGCATGTACAAACCACATAGTGTGCACATCATAATACATGCACGCGCACATGCACAAGCAGCCTGTGCACATTCCACACACGTGTAAATTGTGGTCTCTACGTGCCTCCCGTCCAGGTACCGGCTGAGGGTGGGAGCCTGGAGTGAGTGCCTTCCAGTGTCCGAGTCCAGGATAGCACGGCGCTCCGTGCCACAGGTGCGGTGGGCTTTACAGGCATCGAGGAAGCGGCCACGGAGGAGCTCGGCGTCGTGGGGGCCCGAGGAGGCCGGCGGAGAGACCGATGAGGGGCAGGCGTGGGACGTGCGGCTTGGGGCTCACGCACGCGACCTGTCATGCTTGTCTCGCATGGGAGAGCACGTTGATCTCGTGTGAGTAATCAATTTCATTATTGCTTCAATTTCTTTCATTTGATATGCGTGCCAAGTGCAATGCTCTTACGAAGGTGCTGTTATTTCACATATGAGTATAGTCACTGGTGGAGCCAGTGGGGGGGGCGGGGGGTGGCACGTGCCCCCCAAATGATCCGATCGAAATCCCTAATTTTGATCGGATCATTGGGGTTTATTAGTAATAAATCGGCATTTTGCGACCCCCACTGCCACTGTGTAGCATATTATTATGTGCCAGGGACTCTATGAGATGATAGGACAATAGTCTGAGTCCATAATTGGCAATAAGTAACGGCAAAGCAGTTATAAGTGACTCACATTATTGTGCACAGTTGCGTATACAGTACACGACTTCGCTGAAAGGCATACCTTCAGCGAGCGCGATGCCGATCACACACAGTTCAAATTCGACCCTGGATCGATGGCTGCGCCATCGCCGCACACGCGTCGAATAAAAAGCAAGGGACAAGTCCTTACTTACTAACAACTCTATCATTTTTCATTGCTGGTGGGGTTGCCCCCCCTACCTGAAAATCCTGGCTCCGCCACTGAGTATAGTCTACCAGTTGGGGAGGGGGGGTTACTCTGTGATTTTAAACCAATTTAGCAATTTTCACATTTTGGACCGTGATGTCAGCACAAATGTCTTCCTCTTATTGCAAACAATGCCACGGGACATTTAATGTCACCGTCAAGAAAATAACGCGTGATCATGGTTAACACCCACAGTATTAGCCATGACAAGCACTGGGTTCAAACCGCACACCTCTGCAGCATAACAGCAAATGTCCCATGTCACCGCCTTCTCATCCCTACCGCAGCACGATTTGTTCTCTTTAAAGACCGTCTAGAAGTAGCGACACTGATTTATTGCTTGATACCGGTATTAACCACCTGGTTCCACCAGCCCACAGGGGATTATTGTGTCCGTCCATCCGTCGTGCATCCAAAAATGGGAGGGGTGGGGCTGGGTGGAGAGGGGAGGGTGAGGAGGGGCTGGGTGGGGACGGTGAGGAGGGGCTGGGTGGGGAGGGGAGGGTGGAGAGGGGTTGGGTGGGGAGGGAGGGGGGGCTGGGTGGGGAGGGGAGAGTGGGGAGGGTGGGGCTGGGTGGAGGTGGGAGGGGTGGGGCTGGGTGGGGAGGGGAGGGGCTGGTCACCCCGTGGTGCCCTTGTATAACTCAACGTTTAACCTACTCATGCCGGCTTGTGCCCGCCCTCACAGTCGGCCATATTTGCGGAATACACCATGCCGCTGTTGACCCTGGCCATTGACCGAGCAAACGCAACGTTCCTACCAGCTCCCTCCGCAGGAATGTGTTTCATTAATTGATCGATTTCTCTTATTTAAACCAGGTGGGAGCTCAGTGAGTTCAGGTACATTTTGTAATGGTAAAAAAGAACATAACTGTTTCGAACTACAGGACATTGAATGCAATTTAATGTATAGTCATTTAAAAACGTTGATGATATAACACGTGTGACTAACAAATGACATCGATTATCATCCTCACCTATCATTAAGCACGATAACAGGAGTGGTGTCAATAGAGACTTATCATCATTGTCATCAATTATCCAGAATTTTTTATCTCCGTTTTCTGAGAAAGATCACAGGCAATTAGAAGTCCAGTCCATGTTTTGCACACTCGAAATGAAGGACCTGGGTAGGTGCTCCAAATCGAGGGCAAACACATGTATTGTGGTCAATCTGTAAAATGCAACAGTACGTGTGTCACACACAGCAATCCTCAACCGAGTCACCATTAACCACGTGACTGGTGTACAAGTCCAGTTCATCAATAACAGTTTCTCTTAAACCCCATTCTACTACTGATAAACCATCTTTGTTTATGACAATAACCGTTGCACTTCACTATTCGAATATTACTTTAACCCTAAGCTGTACATTGAGGGAAAAAAAGTATTTGATCCCCTGCTGATTTTGTACGATTGCCCACTGACAAAGAAATTATCAGTCTATAATTTTAATGGTAGGTTTATTTGAACAGTGAGAGACAGAATAACAACAACAAAATCCAGAAAAACGCGTGTCAAAAATGTTATAAATTGATTTGCATTTTAATGAGGGAAATACGTATTTGACACCCTCAATCAGAAAGATGTCTGGCTCCCAGGTGTCTTTTATACAGGTAACGAACTGAGATTAGGAGCACACTCTTAAAGGGAGTGCTCCTAATCTCAGCTTGTTACCTGTATAAAATACACCTGTTCACAGAAGTAATCAATCAATCAGATTCCAAACTCTCCACCATGGCCAAGACCAAAGAGCTCTCCAAGGATGTCAGGGACAAGATTGTAGACCTACAGAAGGCTGGAATGGGCTACAAGACCTTCGCCAAGCAGCTTGGTGAGAAGGTGACAACAGTTGGTATCATTCGCAAATGAAAGAAACACAAAAGAACTGTCAATCTCCCTCGGACTGGGGTTCCATGCAAGATCTCACGTCGTGGAGTTGCAATGATCATGATAACAGTGAGGAATCAGTCCAGAACTACACGGGAGGATCGTGTCAATGATCTCAAGGCAGATGGGACCATAGTCACCAAGAAAACAGTTGGTAACACACTACGCCGTGAAGGACTGAAATCCTGCAGCGCCCGCAAGCTCCCCATGCTCAAGAAAGCACATATACATGCCCTATGAAGTTTGCCAATTAACATCTGAATGATTCAGAAGACAACTGGGTGAAAGTGTTGTGGTCAGATGAGAGCAAAATGGAGCTCTTTGGCATCAACTCAACTTGCTGTGTTTTGAGGAGGAGGAATGCTGCCTATGACCCCAATAACACCATCCCTACCGTCAAACATGGAGGTGGAAACATTATGCTTTGGGGGTGTTTTTCTGCTAAGGGGACAGGACAACTTCGCCGCATCAAAGGGACGATGGACGGGGTCATGTACCGTCAAATCTTGGGTGAGAACCTCCTTCCCTCAGCCAGGGCATTGAAAATGGGTCGTGGATGGGTATTCCAGCATGACAATGACCCAAAACACACGGCCAAGGCAACAAAGGAGTGGCTCAAGAAGAAGCACATTAAGGTCCTGGAGTGGCCTAGCCAGTCTTCAAACCTTAATCCCATAGAAAATCTGTGGAGGGAGCTGAAGGTTCGAGTTGCCAAACGTCAGCCTCGAACCCTTAATGACTTGGAGAAGATCTGCAAAGAGGAGTGTGAAAACATCCCTCCTGAGATGTGTGCAAACCTGGTGGCCAACTACAAGAAACGTCTCACCTCTGTGATTGCCAACAAGGGTTTGGCCACCAAGTACTAAGTAATGTTTTGCAGAGGGGTCAAATAATTTTCCCCTCATTAAAAGGCAAATCAATTTATAACATTTTTGACATACGTTTTTCTGGAATGTTTTCTTGTTATTCTGTCTCTCACTGTTCAAATAAACCTATCATTAAAATAATAGACTGATCATTTCTTTGTCAGTGGGCAAACGTACAAAATCAGCAGCGGATAAAATACTTTCTTCCCTCACTGTACATTGATGTACTGTACAGCACATACGGACTTTCACAAAACCACACTTTACTCCCTTGCTGAACGAGGAAATTATTAAAAGAGTGGACCATTCCTAATGTGCCACACATGGCTAATAATAATCAGCCACACCTCACGGATATTAGGAGTTGTGAGGACCACGTACAACAGTAATCCAATTGCCATGGCAGAGATATGTTAATGCAAATACATTATGATACTAGAAAACTAATGCATCATACTGAATGTACTTTTGGAAAATTAGTATTTACCTTTGCAGTTCTTACTCTTTGGTTATTTTGGTAAAGTCATGTAGACAGAAAAAATAATTAAATAATAGGATACGACGTTTCGATTGCAACACAAGCAATCATTTTCAGGTACAAATGAAAGAAAAAACCTAGTAAACTTAGAAATATAATGCAATACAATACAGAGTCGGCTAACATAAGTCAACACCCTACTTGGTTGATTATGTTCTTCCAAAGATTGCTAAATTTGAGAGAGAGACAAAACACAGACACGGAGACACATAGACAGACACATAAGCAGAGAGAGATAACACAGAGACACAGAGAGAGAGACACACACACGCATAGGCACACAGAGAAACAACACCTCTGTGTTCTGCGAACATAAACACATTTTTTTTTATCATACCTTGGATTTTGTAGCTTTACATGTGGTCTGGTTTTTGTAACCCGTTTTTAATAGGAGAGTGATTGAGGCATCATTCCATGATTGAAGTATGTTATTTACGTGAAAACATTAACATCACGGGACAATTTGAGGGATGGCAACGGAGTGGGGTGATCATGGCTGATTATGATGATGACATATGGTCTGAGCAATTAATGATAATTTGATGGACATGGCAAGGCCAGTAACATGTCACCCATTTCTATGCGTCTTCTATTTCAATTGTCATTCAGTGGTCAGTCTTGAACAATAGTAATGTATTGCTTCCTCCTGCCTGCATTACCATTCAGCATCATTGTTTTGTATTGTATTCGATGTTTTTGATGTCCTGGTCGATTCATTAGGTAGTACATTGTGCATTGTTTTAAATAACAAATAATGATACAGCTTGGATATATGAAGATGCACGGGAATGCAAGCACTCACTCTGTAAAAGGCAGCAGGTTATGTATGTATGTTGAACTTCTTTCTAACCATATGTAGCCAACCGCGCTAATCGGAGGTGCAGAGGAAGGACAACAATATTAAAAGCTATAAACCCTGCTATACTAGCTCATCATCAATACAAATATAAGAAGAAATGTAAACCCAATTGTGAAGAATAATGGCGTAGCAGTAGCAAAGGAATGGATGCATCCGAAGGGATGTGAACTGAGGAGATGGAGCAAGAGCATATGCTCGTTGGATTACTATATCACAAGATTGTGAGAGACGCCGGTGACTTGGGAAAGCCTTCATCCAGCAATGGATTGACCATGGCTGGCGATAACGAATA